ACAAAGTGTCGCTCAAAGGGGTTACGAAACATTTATGTGAATGGCGAAATATTGTGTGATAAATAAAGTGAACATATGAAAATAAAGTGTGGGACTCTTCAGAAAGATGGAGCCCATTTTATAGTGATTAAAAATGCGTTGCGTTTCTTTCTTCCCCCAATGGGTCACCTAGCATCCAACCGTCACAAAAAACATGCAGATGCGGGAAAATGAGAAGAGAGAGCAGCCATAAATTTCTAGTTAATCTCATCAAGAGTGTGATCAGGTTGTATTCAAATTGTGGTATAGATTTGATACCTTTTTAATGCAGCTATCATCCTGAATGGGAGTCGAGCGCATGTTGCTTTTTAAACAAGGACAACAGACACCGATTGCTTCAGTTGCTGATCACCATCAACAAAAGATGACTTCAGAATACATGCCTATGTTTCCGTCCGAGTTCTCTACAACGGCATGACGGTCTCGGTGTTCCACACTCGTTTGTGAGCAGCACGTTTTGCACAGAAACCTGTGACAATTTGTCTCCAGTTGCACAAGATCTTTAGAAAAAAAAGTTATGGTCGTTGGAAGCGTGCCAGATTGCTGAAAAAATCCAATAAGCCGTAAGCCGTGCTGACTAATTTCCATGAAGAGTTTTAATTTTGCCGGCTCTCATAAAGAGTGAAGAGTGCATCTGCGCACCTAACAGAGATTCTATCTGAAGAAACAGAATGCGCCTGAGTTTCAAGATTAACAATGAACATAATCGATTTATTTAATTGATGCTAAATAACAGTTTAAGAAACTGGAGAGAATAATCATAAGGCTTTTATGTGTAGTAGATTTTTTGGCACTTCACTATGTGTATCTCTTTAAATTTGTTGAAATCCCGTCATTATTGGTACCAAAATCATCGCGAATGCAAGCTGTTTCCGAAAATGTTCACATTTCCAGCTTCGGAATACATGTTCCGAATTTCTTAGTCGAACTGGAGGGATTGCAATGGTGTTATTTCCGCAGGTACTGCTATTGGCAAGAAGAGACTCAATCGCTCGTTTCCTTGAAAATAAGGCCGAACTTCTCGTGAAAATTGAGAGTTCGCCATATCTTAAGATTCGTCATGATTAGAGCTTTCCGATGGTACAAATTTCATAGCATTTGCGCCATATTTTGATAAGTTACAGCAAAACGGCAGCTCGTTACGGAAAGTTGTATCACATTTCGGCGATTAAATCAAAATTAGGGGTGGTGTTATAGCTCTGGACGCAGTGTAACTTTCAACACTAAATAATTTTTCGTGCTTAAAACAGACATGATTACAAAGAGCAGAAATCCCGGCTCCAGCAAGACCAACAGTGGCCTCGCCAACGTAAGGCGCTAACACTACCTCTCGGCCAAGATCCCATGTTTATGTGCGCAGTAGTCTGCCGCTCGCATACTTCTCCTTTTTCAATGAATTTTTATCCATGTTTCACAGTCGTTCCCGATGCGAACGAGCCCTTCGATTTTACGACATTTCCAAATTTTGAAAGCGTATTTCATCAAAGTCTGGAGCAAATACGACGAAACGGCCACAAAATCTTGAACTAGGTATATAAATGCGCAACAACTTTGTTGTTTGCTGGAATGCAGCAAAGCGGTTCTTATATAATTTAGCTCTGAATATCGGTATATGTCAAATAGTTCAAGCGCAATCACTTTTCTCTTCTTTTAAAATTGCGCTTGAGCGAAATGTATGTTCAATGAATCGAATGGTTTTTCCAAGAATATGACCTATTGTGCCGTATAGTGACAATGATGGCTTATGAACAAACGTTAAGGTAAACTAGATAAGAGACAATACATCACCCTTTGAAAAAAATTTTGCGGACAGAACTAGTGTTGAAATACACACAGTTGTTCTCGGTGCGATGAATGCCATCCGAAGATATATAGTTTTTGCCCAAAGACTACCTTGTTTTCACGCGTTTTTTTCCTTCGTGATCGCTAGCCAATGACCAATCGCTAGCTGACCTCGTAATTACCCTACGCTGCGAGGGTCAATGCCTCGCGGTGTTATCACTCTTCTTCGAGGCATGTTCGGCTTCCGAATACCGCTAGGAGTCGTTTTTCTAAAGCCCCTTCAGATTCCCGTAGCTGGAAGGAGTGAGAAGCGATCCACTCTAGCTTAGGCCGTGGAACGCCACCGAATCCTCCTATGGCACAGCAATGCAACGTTACTGGAATGGCGCTTTGGGTTTTTGAAATTATGCCGGATTTGGGCACGACTGGGAGCCCATTTAGTACCTCACTTATTTGCATTTGTTCTTATTAGGATTTGTCGTATTATTTTTTGATTCCTCTTTTTTTCTAGTACCTCGATTTCTTGGGGTTCCCCATTGGCCAGTCGTTGTATTAAGTTCCCTCAATTTATCTCATTTTGTCAACTTGATATGTACACGATAGAACATGAAGAATGAAGAATTTGGGTTTGATCGTCTTCCTTTTACTTATCAATCTTTTCCAAATTCTTTTTCTTTTTGCTGGTCATTGGAAAATGTTAAGAATGAAACTCGTTCGCCTATGATTTGTCGTATTATTTTTTGATTCCTCTTTTTTTCTAGTACCTCGATTTCTTGGGGTTCCCCATTGGCCAGTCGTTGTATTAAGTTCCCTCAATTTATCTCATTTTGTCAACTTGATATGTACACGATAGAACATGAAGAATGAAGAATTTGGGTTTGATCGTCTTCCTTTTACTTATCAATCTTTTCCAAATTCTTTTTTTTGCTGGTTATTGGAAAATGTTACGAATGAGAACTGTCGCCTAGTCTAGTCCATGGAAAGGGTCGGTGGTAGGTTCACGTCGTTCATCGGATAAATATTTCAGGCCTAGTTAGTATGGTTCTATATCTCAATACTTTTCTAAAGTTCTCGAGGGTCGCATGGGCCAACCCTACAGGAGGAGCGAAATTGTCCCAGCTAGCGCACAATATCTCCTCGACCGACAGTGGCTTTCTTCTTAGTTGCCACACTATGCGAATCGTTTTGGCTCTGCTACGCAGATGGGAGGAGCACGGCGAATCTCCGCAATCGCAATTTGTTGTGCAGGTATAATTTTCGTTCATAGAAACGGACAAACAACGAAAAGGCTAGTTCTGACGAGAAGGCTGGACAGAAGAGTTTCGAAGGAATTATCAAGGAAGGATTAGCACGTAAAATACACCTTGGTGCACAGATAAAAGTGAATTAATGACACTGAGATCGCAAACTTATGAATTTCATAAAATAGCAGAATTCACGGCATTTACAGCCAGCGGGTTTGCAAGGAACGTCTATAAGAGTGGTGCCTTGTGCTATAGCAACTTAAAAGCTAGTGAGTACAGTAGGTAAACTTGAAAACTTCCCTCAACCTCGTAGGATGGAGCAGTCATGTCATAATTTCGAAAACCCAAAGCGCCATTCCAGTAACGTTGCATTGCTGTGTCACAGAGGATTCGCTGGCGTTCCACGGCCTAAGCTAGAGTGGATCGCTTCTCACTCCTTCCAACTACGGGAATCTGAAGGAGCTTTAGAAAAACGACGCATAGCGGTATTCGGAAGCCGTGCCTCGAAAAGGAGTGATAACACCGCGAGGCATTGACCCTCGCAGCGTAGGGTAATTACGGGGTCAGCTAGCGATTGGTCATTGGCTAGCGATCACGAAGGAAAAAAACGCGTAAAAACAAACTAGTCTTTGGGCAATAATTATATATCATCGGATGGCATTCATCGCACCGAGTACAACTGTATGAATTTCAATACTACTTCTGTAGTCTCTGTCCGCAAATTTTTTTTTTCAAAGGGTGATGTATTGTTTCTTATCTAGTTTAACTTAACGTTTGTTCATAAGCCATCATTGTCACTATACGGCACAATAGGTCATATTCTTGGAATAACCATTCGATTCATTGAACATACATTTCGCTCAAGCGCAATTTTAAAAGAAGAGAAAAGTGATTGCGCTTGAACTATTTGACATATACCGATATTCAGAGCTAAATTATATAAGAACCGCTTTGCTGCATTCCAATAAACAACAAAGTTGTTGCGCACTTACATACCTAGTTCAGTCCTAGTTCGTATTTTCTCCAGACTTTGATGAAATACGCTTTCAAAATTTGGAAATGTCGTAAAATCGAAGGGCTCGTTCGCATCGGGAACGACTGTGAAACATGGATAAAAATGCATCGAAAAAGGAGAAGTATGCGAGCGGCAGACTACTGTGCACATAAACATGGGACCTCACGAAAGGTGTTCTACCTTAAGGTCGGAGTTGGATTTTGCCCCAGCTGAAGGGTAAAGCTGGTGATCTACTTAACCGGTCCCGACCTATAACACATCCTGGAATTCGTTGTGTGGATACGTATCTATAGGACTTAACTTTTTCCGTTTCATTCGCTCTCAGCGGAGTTATGGTAGTGCGAGGGTCTTTGATAGGTCCGACTGTCAATCAGCGTCATTTTTTTTCACATTCTGTGAGCAGTATTGTAGGTCTACCTACGTCTATTTCAGTGGGATTTCACTTGAAACAACCTCCATAATTCATTTCAGAGGAGCGTTTCGCAAATTTGGAGAGTGCATTTGGGATCAGCGTCCAAAAACACATCGGTGAGTATAGGCTTCATTACCGATGGCCACTTTGAGTATCCTTGCTCCGAAGAAGAGAAGATTCGCAAAGGAACCATTCATTATTATTATAAATCTTACTATCAATTAGCATAGAACAAACAAATATCGAAATTCTTATCGCAAATAGATAACTTTATAACACTTCAATATTTCGTTACGTTGGAGCTTCATCGAAACTATATTCGTTGTGTAATACAAAGAGACACAGAAGGGCATTATACGAAAGACAAAAAGAATTCTAGAATCAATTCAAAGCAGTTTTCTCAGGTTCCATCAGCAACATTGTTTCGCCTCGCCTCTTTGGATTATGCAACAATGTAAAGGATAAGCTACATGGGCATGGCGATGTTGGTTGAATAGACAATAACAAATCACAAAAAAGAATTGGGAAGGAACATGTCAGCCACTGTTGTCAAATAGTGAACACCGGCAGGAAGATGGATGTCGTCCTGGACATACATGGGAAGGAAATCACGTAATACATTCGAAAGGCTACGGTATACACTGAAAAATGTCTGCTGGAGGGTTTTCAGAGCGAGATTTGAATGGCATGAGACGAGGTAACGGTTCACAATGATATCACCAGTGGTTGTGAGCGGAGCATAGATGCCAGTTTCTATGACCTGTAACAGAAACTTTCACTAGGTGTGTAATCAAGCGAAGTTTTTGCTCCTCTTTCTCAGTGAAGGAGGAGAGTATTTAAATCATTGATACTAGATCGCTTCACTTAGAGGAATCGTCCACGGAAAAAACATGATTCTATCCCATCCAAATCACTTGCTTGAGAGCAATCATTTATTATGAAAAAAGAACAAAAAAGTTACGTTCGTTCTTGTAAACATTTCGCAAAACCGTTAAGACTACTACGCGTTTAGATCTCCGCCGTTCATCGGCAACAAATGATGTCGACACTAAGGACTCCATGGTTCTCAGAATGCGTTCGCCGGAAACGTTTCAAGCTTTTCCACAGCTGAGCAATGAAATTTCTCTTTTCTACGATCCAATCCTATCGATCGTTTTGTCTCTATTCTTCAAAATCGAACGCTTTCACCTTATTCCTTCAATGCGTCGCCTAATGCGTGACCGCCTCTAAGCGCACTTACTTCCATGCGTCACTCTTCTCCGCCTCACCTCCCCCGACCTTCCATACAATATTATTTTCGGGTTTGTTTTCTTTGGAGACTGAATTCCCTGCTAAAAGAAGGAAATATTTTGTTCATTGTCAATAGTAGAGATCAGTGATAATGTCAGGAAAGAATGGAAGAATTTGCGGAAAATTCTTCCATTCTTTCTTGACAAGAATGTGTCAGTTGTGATCACGGAAACAGCACACAATGTTACACGCATGAAGATACGGTTTCCGAACAGAAACAAACCTACAAAAACTACACTTTATGGACAATCGAAGGTGATTCGGGCGGAGCCAAAGACGAGGCATGGAGAGAAGTTGGCCTTCGGCCAGTTACGTATCAGGCGACGCAATGAAAGAATCGGGTAAGAGCGCGCGATTTCGGAGAGTGGAGACAAATCGATCGATAGAATAGGACGGAGTAGAAGTGTAAGATGTGAATCCAATAAAGTAGAAGGCCAGAAAGAGTTTTAAGTGAAGGCGCTCCAAGTACCAAGTGGAAGCGTCCTCGTCGAAAGCATTTGTGAAAGACGTCTGTAGGCACTTTGAACGCGTAGCAGCCTTTCGATTTTTCGATTTTTCCACCGGAACAAAAGCAATATTTTTGTTCTTTTTATTCTTATCATGAATTATGAGTCTCAAGCCAGTGATTTTTGGCCGAAATAGAATAATGGTTTGCCCGTGAAGGATTCCTTTAAGCTTACCAAAAGACTGCATTAATGCAACGATCACCTTGGAAATCGAAGTAATGCGCCTTGGAATGAGATCCGAGTTCCCCGTTGTAATTTGCAGGCACTGTCCTGCTCGAGCGTCTTTAGCAGCTGCCAGATGGAGTGGATCAGTACTGCCACAGTTCGTGACATATAGTAGGTGATTCTCAGTGAGCTTCAGAGACTCTCCTTGTTCCTGAGATAGAAATCAAGAGTCGTAGTGATTTGAGCGATATCCAAGCTGAGAGAGACTGAAATGAAGGCACACAGTTCTAACGCGGTTTCTAGTGTTCAAGCGCTAGGAGAAAAGAGATAATGGGCGCCGGAGAGAAAAAGAAGAGAAGGGAAAGGCGAGAAAGCTCGCAGATCCGAGACTTCGCAAATGATTGGATATTACCACAGTAAGGTCATTCGTGCTCCTTGCCTTCCTATACACAACCCTTTCCTCACATCATCCTGTCTGCTGATTTTGATCGCATGTGAATACTTTGAATTGGCGAGCCTATGAGTATCGCCAGTGTCGTTACAAGTCTCATCATCCATTCGCTGAGCTTTTTACGAAGCTGCCTTGTTCTCGCTATCGCCTATCTTCTTTGCATCGTACCTGTCAGTGCATTTGTGCGTTCACTTCTGCACTGTCTAGCATACCGTTATGTTCGTTTTTTTTAATAGTGCAGCAGAAACGAATGTGTGGAATTCGCATCGAATCGCAACAATCTTTGAACGAAGTTCGGCTTATCGCTTCATGCCACGTGCTGCCTCTAAAGGCAAGAATAAGGATTAAATTAATTAGGTACTTCTACTCAAATACGAAATAGGGGTGGGAAGTGGACAGCCAGTGGAAAAAAAGAAAAAATTTTTGAAATACCCAGGAAATACGAGCCTTTTACTCCGCGTTGCGGAGAAGTTCAACAGGTCGACAGGGAGATAGGAGATAATGTGAGCGCTGAGAGCGGTAGAGAAGCCCGAGTAGACAGAGCATAGCAGATCAGTATTGCGACGCAGACAGGATATCGAGCGGTGGGCAGAGCGTGTCGCAGCAGGTGGAGCGTGTCAAAGTCCTAAGCGTCTAGCGTCTTATTGTTAGTGACGCGTTTCGATGCAGAAAAGTGGCGCGCCTTCTGCAGTTACGTCCCACGCACTCCTAGCCACTATGAAGGCATATAAAGTGGGTCTGAGCCCAAACTTTGCCTTTAATTTATCGACGTGACAGTCCAATCACAGAGCGCCTGCTGCATTATAGCAAATATGGTTTTCCTGCGACAAAGAATTTTGCACAAACACGTGTCAGATTTTTTCCACATGTACGTGTCAGATTTTTTCCGGAACTTACAGTATGGATATGCAGGAATTCTGCCTGTTCCTCTTCGAGTTTATGAAGGAACATTATCACCGGCGAGAATGTCACCTCAAAAAAGTAGGTTAAGTATGCATTTCAAGTAAGAAAGCGGGTTAACAAACCATGAACTCGTCTATACTCAGCACCATATCTCCGACTTCCAAGTCTTTGATTGCCTTCATTCCCGATGGAGTTTCCACCTCAAATTTTACATTCCACGAATAAGATTACATTTGATTATTTGAAATAGAAAAATGTTGATGCTTACTATCCCGATAATAGTCTGTTTCAAGTAGTAAATGGGCAAGCATTTGCCAAATTCAAAAGGTCACCTTCATTTCACCACTGAAGCATTGCATTTGATCAAATATAGTGTTGAGGCCAGGATTCTGAAATAGGAATTACCTGCATAAGAGGCAAATAGAACTTTATAACTACGAAATGACCAAGAGCAGTGATTTAGACACGGAGATCATGAAACTCTTTTTCTAGGCTGAATTCAAAGTCGTTCTCGCATGGTATGAGAATTACGAACATAACCACTCGGATAGTAGTAGTATTGTTGCGCTTGTGGAGCTTGTTGGACTGGTACTTGTTGAGCGCGGAACTGCGGTTGCATTGGAGGTGCTGTCGCTAAAAGAAAAGCAATTAATTTTCATTTTTTGCTGAGCCAGTCTTTTCTAAGCGCGTTCAGTCGGCCGCAACAGCTAAGGAGCGTGCGAGGCTGCATTCGCAGATCGCCTACCTGACAATCTTACTAACCAGTTTAAAAAAATAGACAGATCTCCACTATCGAAAATTTTTCCTGATAGTTTATTCTACTTCGGATTATGGTAATTATGGCATACACGAGTACATGTCCTTGAGATCGAGCTTTCATGCAACCGACTGAACGCGTTCAGAAAAGATCGTAGCCATTCTTAAGTAGTATGTTCTACTCGCCCAATTGTGGTTGACGTTGTTGCACGCGGATATTCATATTTTCTTCCTCTAAAGTACATTTTGTCAAATATTGGCAATATAGCACTATTCCAACCCCAAAAAGGCACAATTTTTTTTTCGCGAAACATCGCATTCAGCTGACATTCCTGTTCATGCATATGACAGTCGTTCTTCACGTTGGCCTCAACAAGCGCCTCCTTCCAATTCTACGAAACAGCTTTTTTTCCACAAGAAATGGTGAATAATTATTAAAGAAGTGATTAGACATCATTTGGTTCTTATCAATATAACGTTAGTTTATAACGCTGGCTCCACCTGGCGCCAGTTCGATGCATATAGGAGTCAAACTGGCGCAAAACTGCGCCAACGCCAAATGGATGTCGCATTCGTAGTAAGGGCGCCGTTAAATTCGCAAAAGTGACGTTTCAGAAAAATTTCGGCACTATTCAACTATTACTACCCAAAAATCTGAAAATATTTTGACTTGTTTTGGTTTGTAACTGCTGCTATTTTTAGCCGCACTTCGCCTTGCGAATGTTTTACAGGAATGCTGGCTTTAACCGGCTAATGCTGACCGGCTCAACACGTTGGACGTCTGAGTGCTGACAAGCTATGGTGAGTACATCATGAAGAGCTGAGTTGGAAAGAAGTGGTGCCCCGGTAGCGTAACTGGTAGCGCACTTATTCGGAAAACGAGGGGTGCGGGTTCGAATCGCGTCCAGGGCGAAAGTTTTGCTCACAACCCAGCATTCTTGTGAACTTTCTGAAAATACTATTTTCGCGAAAACTTTGTCCATAGAAGTAATCTGATGCAGATCACGACGCTACCACGCTCTATGATCTAATCATTGGAAATTTCTTAGCTGAAAGTAATTTTGGGGCAAAAATTGAAATAGCGAAGGGTAGCAGCCCATGCGTATTTCCGATGAAAGCCAAAGACTGGAAAGTTCTCCGAACTTATCAATCTTTCCAAAATAGAGATTCAAAACGCGAAGGGCTCCTCTAAGACAACGCTTTCATTTTTTTTGTGAAAGATGCACGAAAGCGTACTCACGATAAGCGGGTGGATAGGTGGGAGGTTCTCGGTATGCCGGCACATATTGAGGAAGTTGCTGAGGTTGTTGATAAGACGTTGGTGGTGGTAGAGGATCTCCCATGGAAGGTACCTGCAAAAGGGACCGTAAAGGGTATTCGAATTTGTTTCAATACAATGAGTAAAGCAAAATTATCATAAAAATGCATAGTGATTCCAGATAAGTCCTATGGGAGCAGATTAATGCCAGCGAGGTGGCATGCTTGCTCCTTAAGTTGGATTTGACCCCACGGACCGTGCAGGTGAAAGATGGCGCCTCTAGCCAATATGGCACCTTTCACATTAACATCACAGTGGGTGACTGCAGATTGCCCAATTATTCAAACTGCTTCGGAATGTAAGTGCGAGTCTCCTAGGATGACCTCGTTTGCACGAAAAGATCCAGGCGTAAGATTTTTTCGATGAGTTGGCATTGAGGAGGGTTCTACTATTCTTCTAGAGAACCATTCATCCGTTCCTTCCTTTTACGTCCGTCTCCTTAGGTGGAGCATTAAGGAAGATAGGGACTCCTAAAATAGGAAAAGCGCATTCCTCTACAATATTGATTTACCGCTGTATGGAAGAAAAGTAGAGCCTTTTGAGGGGACTTGAGGAGCTCTCAAAAGTCAAGTAAATCGCAAATATGCTTAGTTTGTGAAAAGCCAATTTTTATGGAAGTTATGTCCGATTAAAGGGCGTTACCTCAAAACCTCCTCCCCGATGTGCGCAGGAGGGCTGGCGCGCTCCAATACGAATGCCGCGACGCAGGGAACGAGTTTTTGTTGATTTTCGCACAGTAACATAAAACACTTGAACACATAACTACTGAAGGGGTCGTAACGAGGCCTCCAAGAAAAAATTTTGAGCTCGGCTGAACACTACGGTTGACCCTGAGTTTGGTGTGAATTATAAAAGATATTTCAACCAGTAGGCTGTGAAGAAAAGTGGAAGACTGAATTTAGCAAACCGAATCAGATGCTGCAGTAAGCTGCGTCAAGTCCAACGCTCTGGAATTGCTGTCGATAACTGTGAGATCGGGTTCAGACTAAAAGAAGAGGTTTAAGAACTCGCAATTCATCATCATTCCTGTCTTCGAAGGAAGGTGGCCCAGCGGCCAAAGGCGCCACTGGCTCCTTGCACGCTCCTGGTATCGAATCCTGCTTAAGCGGAAAGGGCCTGCTTTATTTCCTGTGGTTTGAACGGTAGGGAATTTTCCAGGATGAATGAGTAAAATATGAACAGTTTTTCTATTTTGTTATACAGTGCGTTTCAAAAGTATGTGCACACCCTCAAAATTAACGTTTGAAAGGGAATCATGAGGTTTCCTGCCATGAAATCCTTCTCAATCGATTTCTCGTAGTCAATAACCTATCAATGGAAGCAAAGCAGATAATATCGCCTCACTTTCGGAAAAATTTTTTAGATGAAATTTTTTTTCTTTGTTTCAAAAGTATGTGCACACTTGAATAAGATCAGATTTTGGCGCCGAATTTTCCACCGATTTCAATCCGACTTTGCAGTTTTCATTTTGTCATCATGTCAATTCGCGCCATACTTCTTCCTGAAGATGAGCAAGCTTAGATGAAGGTTCTGCATGACAATGAACGTTCCAATCTAGAAATCTCATGATAACTTGGTCGTTCTCCTTAATGCTTTCGAAGATTTATCTGGCACCCTGATAATTATACTCAGCACACACTCCGCTCCACCCACGATCCTTGACTGCTCAGAACAACAAAGAAGTAGCCCATATCCTGTCGGATCCTTCATTGACAGTCGGAGCTCCCACGGAACCTGTTCGCTGGATGAAAGATACGCCTAGCTCAATATTGCGTCACCTTTCACATTTCATCACAGCGGGTGACTGCAAATTGCCCATATTATTAATACTCTTTCGAACTGTAATGCGGTCTCCTAGACTGACGCTCGTTGCTTAAACAATCAAAAATTTCATGTGCGTAAGATTTTTCGTTCGCTGATTGGCATTGAGACGAGGTTTCTATCTCTATTTATTGCTAATGAATATCCAGTCACTTTCTATCCCGTTCCTTCTCTTTTACCCTCCGTCTTCCTTAGGTGGCATAAGAAATATGGACTCCTTAACACATAGGTTTAATAAGCGCGATTATCCTTTCGCCCAAACATTTGATTTATCTCGCTGTCAATGCGATATAAGTAATGCCTTTTGTAGGGACTTGAGCGATTCTTCTTCAAAGCTAAGTAAATCGCAAATATGCTACTATTTGCTGAATAACCAATTTTTTATGAAGTTATGTCCGCATTAAAGCGTTACCAGTACGCATCGGAGTCAAAACCTCCTCCCCTGTGATGGCCAGTGAGGGCGGCCCGTCTTCCAATCACGAATGTCGCGCGAACGCAGGGGAATCGAAGTTTTCTTTTGTTATTTTCGCACTAAGTTAACTATCAAATCCCTTGTACATCAACATAACTACTGAATTTGGGTCGTAACCGAGCCTCCATCATCAAAAATTATTGAGCTCCCGCTGACACTCACACGGTTGACCCGCTATTTGCTGTTAAATTTATAAAAGTATATTTTCAACGCCAGTAGGTCTTTGTATGAACAAAGTGTGAAAGACTTGATTTAGGTCCATTACCGTAGAGCCATTTATGCGGCAGGTTAAGTTTGCGCGTTCAATTGTACAAACTTTCTAGGAGATTAGCTGTCGATAACTGTGTAGATCAGTTCACTTACTAAAAAGAAAGAAGAGGTTTAATGAACCTCGCAATTCATTCTATCATCCTGTCTTCGAAGCAGTCCCAGCGGCCCTTAATAGCGCCCAACTCTATATGCCCTTGCACGCCTCATTGTAATCGGAAATCTGCTTTAAAGCGAAAAGGGCCTTGGCTTGATTTCCTGCTTTGGAACCGTGATGGATTAGAGATTCGTTCCAAACTCTTCATTGATGGATGAATTGTAGTAAATATGAACTTATTTTTTCTTATTTTTGCTTATATTATATTAGTTCTGTGCGTCCAGTGACAAATTGTCTACAAAACTTCAACCAGTCGAGTGTTTCTGAAATCCATAGCTCGTCCCTTCAAAAGTCTGCATTCGACTAACCATAGAGAGAATACGTGAATCATTATCGTTCCATCTGTTGTTGCGCTATCTGTCCGGCTTCTAAAATTCTTTGTCATACCACCCCTATATCATAACTATCTCACTCTACTAAACCTGAATATACCAATGGTGAATGTCTCAATTCGGAGGTCTCATAACTATCCCATCTCTATCTCGGCAGCTCTGGGCCAAATGCCAGAGACGATTTCTTTCCCTTTTCTGCTTTCTGAAAAATAACATTGCAGAAAATTGAATCCAAGAAACATCTTACAGGTGCACTTGTCAAAATACTAAAAAAGCCTAATAAGTAAACTGATAAAGAACTAAAATCAGAAACTCCAAAACTACAAATCGCTAACTTGTACACACAATAATGAGGCGTTGCAAT